ACCAGAAAGTCCCAACCGAAAAGCGACGCAAACAAGACGCAAAGCAGGGTACTATCGATGATGGTACGTTTTCTCTCATTTCCTCGCCTGCCTCGATTGGACTGTGAACCCGAACTGGGGATGAATGCTCGTCCTTTCCCTTCATGAACCTTGCAGAAGCAGAGTATCTCGCATTCGTCAAGTCCTTGGAGGCTTCTAACATGGAGAAGGAAGAGAATAAGACCGACGCTCAACTCATGGGTGAGTCGTCCAACTCTTCTCTCTGCCTTTCACGTAACGATGAGATTAGATGCGGATACTGAAACGATGATGCGCGAATCTACCAGCTCACCTTACATCGCAGCCCGACAAGGAGGCGATCGGCAAGTCGACGCCTCTGCTGGAGCATCTCAGAGCACAAAAGGCTCTCAAAGCCGAAGCGGCCGCCATGGCAGCTGCCAAAGCCTACCGCAACCCTTACAAGTACCAGTACCCAGACGCGAAGCCTGCAGCCTCGGCTTCCAAGTCGAGCAAGGCAAGTTCCAAAGCGGCTAAGATGGCTGAAGGCAGCAAGAAGGCAATGACCGCCGACGAGATCAAGCGCTTGAAAATCCAACAAAGAAGACTGGCCAAAGCAGAAGCGCTTCAAGCTTCCGCCTCATCCGTAAAGGACAAGGCCGCAACGGCTGCCAGCGAAAAGTCCTCGGATACCAAAGCTCAAAAGTCCGAAGCATCCAAGAAGACCATCCGAGCCGCAGCTATAGCCGAGGCAGCTGCCAGTCGCGCTTTCGGGGCTGCTCTTTCCGGTGCCCTCGGTTCAGTGGCAAAGCCCTCCAAGGGTGGCAAAGGAGCCAAAGCGGACGGCAAGGAGAAGGGCAAGGAGAATGAAAAAGCTGGAGCGGCCAGGATCGACGATGAACCCGACGAGGGACCCGGTCAGAGTCCCTCAGCTGCTCCCAAAGGACCCAGAGGCAAGGGATCAAAGGCGGACGTCGCTTCTTCTTCGGCGTTGGCAAAGGAGAGAGAGGCAAAGCCTTCGAAGAGGGAGAGGGAGAGAAGCAAGAAAGGCGCCGGCAAGGAATCCAACACGGTAGGCTCCTCAGCCCCTCAGCCGCAACCGGGAAAGTTCATGATCTTGACCAGGGATCACCATACCACCGCCAGCAAGGAGAAGCAAGGGACAACCCCAGCGCCAGCTGGGGACGGAGCGCCGGGCTCGGACGTTCCAATCGCACCTGCGGCAACGGTGAAGGGTCAAGCGAGCAAAGCGGGAGACAGGAGAGGGGAGAAGGGCAAACCCCCGGGAGGCGGTGGAGGTGGAAGGAACCGAGGAAAGGAGAAGAAGAGCACCAACTCTCAAGGAGGAGGACGAGGAGGAGCGATACCAGGTGGCGATCCTACCAGCTGAGTTGTTGCGTAAAGAGGCGGGGAAGGGGGGGAAGAAAAAAAGAGAAACCCTTCGCTCGCCACTTGCAATCCACTCAAGTACATCAACCATCCAATCTGGTTCTTCTTCCTTCCCCTTACCGCGCTCCCTCTCCACGGACCCGACCACGTTCCGAATCGGGTTGCACAGACGGGACAGCTTGCCATGCTCCGACTTTCTTTTCACCGGTGGGGGGGAAACCAGAAAGAGTCCAAAAGGGATGAAAAGAGGCCCAGATGATGGCAACGCGGGAGTTGGGGATCAGAAATGGTTCGAGACTCCGTTCCCCCCCGCACTTCACTTGCTGGGTTGCCTCACCCCGACAGAAAGGGAGGAAGTGCCTAGGCTCGAAGAAAGAGAGAGAGAGAGAGAGAGAGAGAGAGAGAGAGAGAGAGAGAGAGATCCTTGAAATGCAAGAACAAAGCTTGAGCCCAAACATCCTCTAGTGCGCCACCGAGATTCATCCTAGTGACAAATTCTGGAGCCCATTTTTCCAAGCAATCGTCGAAGAATCAGAGAGGCAAAACACGTTGGGACATTTGACATGGTTTTCAATCTAGCCTTCAAGGCCATTTCCATCCCCAGCACCACATAACTACATGAGAAAGGCTCGAGAAAAGATTGAAGCCTTGAAATCAAGTACCATCGTGATCCTCTCCAAAGGTGGATGGATGGGTAAGCGTTCAAATACGGTGGATATCCCCCCTTTTTACTGCATGTGTCCCTTCTCGTCGATATGGAAAGCAGAGCCGCCAGCGCCGCCAAGTTTGAACCTCTCGCCTGACAGGGATTTCAACTTTTGGTACCTCTCCTCCCCGCCAAGGAGTTCGACTTCGAGTGCGGTCTTGATCCTGAAATCGAGGTCGGCTTCTTGGCGTTCGGTACCTGCTGCGGCAGCCTCTGGTCCCCCCGTCCCTCCTCCTCCTCCTCGGACGATCCTGTATTGGGCGGGTTCGGAGGAAGGGGGAGCAGGAGGAGCACCATCCGCCCTCACGCGTGTATCCGGTCGGATCACTCCAGTCCCAACCCTGAAGTCGCAGATGGATTCCTTGAGATTGCCATTCGAGACGATCTGGTTGTTCATGTTCCACCTGAAGTCGATCCTGTAGCTCGTCTTGAGGTGGCTCGTCTCGATGGTCGGGCTCAGGTCCGTGGTTTTGATTCGACCAGAGAGGCTGCACCTTGTCACGTGGTACTCGTGCGATTTCTTCGTCTCGGGCTTGGTTGGCGCCGAGTGGGGGAAGAAGAACCTGGTCTGGCTATGGGTGGGCTGGAAATCGATCGGGGCAGCCTCTGCTGACGCCACCTCACCGCTTGAATCCGAGGAAGGGAGGGTGTCGGTTGGGGTAAACGGGACGGGGTTGGTCCAGCCATACGACGTCGAGTTTGCGATAGTGTCGGCGAGAGTCTCGTCTCGAGTCACTCCCGCACCTGCTTCTCGCTCGGGAGAGGAGGAGAGCAGGTGGCCTTGATCCCATTCCACTCCAACCTTGAAGTGGGAGACGGTCGTCTCACTGATACCTGCTGCTTTGGACCACTCGGTCCTCTTGGCTACGAAGTGAGGGTGATTTTCCCCGGCTCCAATGCAGGGCAAGGTGGGGAGGATCGATTCGGCGGACGCGAGGTTATTGGAGGAGGAAGGATCGGACGAGGTCGACGAAGCCTGACCCTCTTCCAGACTGGGGTTGGACCCCCCCGGCTGGGGCTGCTGCTTGTTGCCGATGGCCAGGGCCGGGGGAGCTGGTAGTAAGCTCTCCCGAAGCTTCGCAAAGACCTGGACCTGAAGGATGAAGGGGATCCTCGAGCTCGTCCCCTCCGATACGAGAGTCTTGGAAAGGTCCGGAAAGTAGAGCGCCATCATGATGGTCCCCTTCTCCTTCAAGACGTTCTTTTTCAACTTTTGGCCAAAGAGGTAGCAACTCCACCCTGGCGGCGGCGTGTACCAAACAGTCGGGTCCGAAAGATTGTGCCGCTCCAGACTCGACTTGACCGGTGGGGCCAAGGTTCTTGGGATGGTTAGGAGGTTCTCTTGAAGGTCAAAGCACATCACAAAGATGGGGATCCAGCGACGAAAGTTTCTCTTGATTCCACGCTTTTTACCTGTCACCTTGACGCAGTAGAGGACCCAGTTGCTTCTATGGTCCAGCCCCCTGCCTCGGAACGTTGGGGGTAAGGGGCATTCGGTTTCGCTGTGTTTGACTTGCGCTGTGTAGGTCTGGGGCAGGGTGGAGGAGAAGCACCATGCCCGCAGTTTGGAAACCCTACCGCTAGAGAGGACAATCTCGCTTTCCGGTCCTGTGAAGGGGGAGATACTCGCCAAAGAGGAAAAAGGGACGTCCTCGGAAAGGTCGTCCCGATCATGGGTAGTTTCATTTTCGCCGCCACCACCAAAGACGGTGACCCGATTCTTGAACATGGTCTGGGTCTTTACGTGTACAAGCTGATTGCCTTGACCGTCAGTGGTGACAGCAAAGGTCCTGATCTCCCCCTTGAGTTCGCAGACTACCTCTTCGAAAAGGCCGTCTTCCAAGTAAGCCTCTGGAATCCGGACCACGGCTTGGACCTCTTGGCCGGGCCAGTAGACCCTCCCGGTGTCGACGTAGAGCATGATCTCGTTTTCGGCCACCTTGGAGTGGGTCTCCTTACTCTTCCCTTTGCTCTTGCCCATGGATTTGAACAGTCCGATCAGCCGTCCCGATTCCCTCGTCGATGTACTTTCACCAGCATCACCAGCACCGACGATGCCGCTACCCTTCTCGCTCGGCTTGATCGATTCGGGATGGGAGGAGGAGGAGGTCTCTTCGTCTTCGCCGGATTTCCTAGCGTATTGCCTCCTTTGGTAGATGTACTGGGCAAAGATGTGAGGCCTGAGTTTTAGCTCCTCCTTGGTCACCAGGTCGGCCATCCTCCGGTTCCTATGGACCAGCTCGTGGACCTGCATGGGCGAGCCGTCGATCTGCTCGCCGTAGACTGGTAAGAGCTCGTCATCCTCGTATTCGTTTTCGTCGTAGAGGCCTTCTCGATCGCTTTGGCTGTCGCCGTCGCCCTTTTTCGAAAAGATCGAGCTGGGCATGGTTGGTTTTTACTTGGCCGTTTGTAGGTGAGGCTGTAGTGGGGTGTGAGCGGGTGTGTGTATGCGTGTGGGTGGTGGTGGTCAATGTCTGGAGAGAAGAGGATTGGCTGTACAAGTGGAAGCCGACTGTTGGGCCATCAGAGGACTCTTGCGCAGCAGAGAGGAGGCGGGGAAGATGTATGAAGATTGGTGGGGGAAGGGGAAGGGGCGACCCTCTTGAACCAGCCCTCCAAGGTCGAAACTGTTGGAGGATGGCACTGACTGACGGGATCTGCACGATGATGACTCTGATCACTCCTTGAACTCAGCACTTGTCATTACCGGATGACTCTGACTGGGTCCAAAACCGGGCACGGTTGAGTGGTGATGCCTCCACAAGGTGGCAAGGTGGAAGTGACTGGGATTGCGAAAGCAAAGCGAAGTAAGATTGGTCAACCCCGCTTTAATTCTCTTATCCTTATAGTCTCAATTTGTTCGTTCCCGGCATATCCAGCTGGTTAGCCAAATTAGCAATAATCCAGAGCGGTCGTCATATAGTGGTTATTATACTTCGTTGTGGCCGAAGAAACGGATGTTCGATTCCTCCCGACCGCATTCTTTTTATCAATTCATGTGCCAAGAAAGAAGCCTTTTATTTTCTCGGAATGGTAATTAAATTCGAGCTCATATACCTATCCATTTTCACACAAAGGTCAACCGATATGAATAGCCAAGTGAGCCATCAATCGGGTTGCGTTGCGGTCGTCATATAGTGGTTATTATACTTCGTTGTGGCCGAAGAAACGGATGTTCGATTCCTCCCGACCGCACGATTATTAATAATCTTTTTTATCTTCCGATTTCTTTCTCTTTTTCTTTTGTGTCTGCCCCTTCTACCTTCTCTTTTTGATTTTCTTCCCCTCTACAGTTCCTTAACAGACTGGGCGCGATTTCTCAGCCTTCCTTTTCGTCCCTTTTTCTTCTGTTTCTATTTTTTTTCCTTTCCTTTTTTTGTTGCTTCCTTTTTTCGTGCCTTTTCGCGACGATTTATTTTCGCTTTCACAAACATAGTCGTATCCGGAGGATCTGACCGCCCAACGAGGATGGCTGGTCGTCAGGATGGCCCAAATGCAAAAAAAAGCAAACCAGGCCAAAGGAGTGTGGGTGGGAAAGGACGAAGACCACCACCAGGTTGATCCACTCTCGGACGACGAGTGAGCGGAGGGATGGTGAGTGTGTTGCGAACGGGTGGATCGGGTCTCGAGGCTAGGATTTTGAAACGAGCTCTTAGCCGGGGCAATCGAGTTGAGGGAGGTCGTAGTCAATAAAATCACAGGTAACATAGCGTAGGGTCAACCTCGAGGAATGTGGAACGGTCCGAGTCGAGGTTGGTCGTCGTCTTTGTGCCCCCCCCCCCCCCCCTTCCCTTCTCGAGATCTGATGGTCACGAGGGCCGGCCGTAGCATACCTATGGACGTTCCGAGCCAAAAACAATAGGGACTGGGTAGAGAGAAGATGAGGGTTTTCCGCTCACTTGTTCCACCACCTCCTTCCACTCTCTCTCCTGCTGCAACCACTCTCGTCCACACGAGCCTGTGCAGGCGGGTGCGCGTGCCCCCACGAGAAGCCAACCATCACTCCCCCTCGAATTGGTGGTAGTCGACCGTTGAGTTTCCAGTGGCCGCACCGCACCCAAAAAAAAAAAAGCCAACCTCACGAGGACGTTACCATTGCTTGTTCCTGTGGGCACCCTCCAGGGTGGGGGGGAAACTGGAAGCTGGGAGAGGGGAGGAGAGAAGAAGGTGGGTGGGGGAAGCGGATACGACTTTTGCATCGATAGAGACCCCGAGACGAGATTGCCGGTCACAGTCCAGTCCAAGGTACAGGATCGATGCGTAGAAGAGAGAAGGCTCAGTGGTACCGTTTCGGTCGTTGGAATTCGTTCACGAGCTCCTGTTACTGATTGAACTTGTCCAGTGCGTGGAGTATGTATGCTGTGACACTACACCCCCACCTTGGCTGTTTCGCGTGCACACGCTGGATTGACAGACTGACGGGACGCACAGACGGACGTCAAAGGGAACAGGGGAGATTCTCTCCCCCACCCTCTCTCTCTCTCTCTGATCCCCTTGACTACGTGAGCATCCGTCAGCGAGTGGTTGGTTAGGCATGGTTCCAACGATCAGAAACAGGGGATATTGCTCTCGGTTCTTCGAATCTCGGTGTGGGAGGCTAAGGTGGGGAAGGATTGGGTGTAGGACGACAAGCGAGGGTCTTCGTGGTCTCAAGGTCTTGTTCACCGTGGTCTTGTCGGTGATGAAGTCGAAGTTTGGATGGCTGGGCGGGAACAAGTGAAAAGAAAGATATTCGGCGGTAGAGAACGAGGAGGGGGGGGGTGGGGGCAGAAATGTAGCTCGGACACCGTATTCACTTGAAAGTCAAAAGTGTCAGGAGTCGGTGATCTGTTACCGGTCGAAAGGAAGCCGGAGGAAGACACACACACACACCTTGTCGATTGATTTCTTTCATTTTCTTTCTTCCTTCCTTGGAGATATTGATGGGATGTACGCGAGCTGTATGCTCTTCGCCGAGTGACCAGTCTCCCTTCGAGTGGTGATTCTCGACATGGGGTTTAGGAGGAGGTTTGAATTCTCCAAGGGCTAGCTCATGAAAGTTTTAGATCAGATGGAGTCCTCGCAAGATCGAATATTCCTTTTCCATGGTGGTGCCTGGAACTAAAGGGGGGGAGGACCACACGACCCTGGCCGACTTGGTCCCTCCTCCCTCCCCCCCAACCCCCCCTGCCCTCCCCTGTTTCAATCAAGCTCCTATCTCGCTCGCGATGCAGACACGAACCTTTGTTCCGGTCCGCGTCTGAGATTCGAACTGCAGCAAGGTTAATGAGTTTGACTTGGCGATATCCTCTGCTGCAGCACTCCTTGCCATCCCTTTTCACCTTTCTCTTTCATCTATCCATTTTTAATCACGATCCTGGTAACGTTCATCCCGGGAGGAGAGGGGGAAGGCGAAGGGGAACCCTAAAAATCGGAACGAAAAAAAAAAACAACGACGACGACGACGCGGGATTTAATCAGATTCATAATGGGATCAAACGCCAGAGGGGTGGTCTGCGATACAGACTGACGGAAAGCGAAAAGCACTCAAAAAAAAAAAAACAAAAACAAAACAAAACAAGAAATGCAGAAAAGTGAGAGAGACAAGGGAAACAAGATTCGAATCCCAAAAAAAAAGAAAAAAAGGTTTAGGGGGAGTGATCCAATGCGAGAGAGCGGTAAATCTCGTCGACGGGAAAACCCGAGCTTGTTTTGCGACTCGTACGTAAAAGAGGTCAGCCGCATGGCAATCCAATTTTCTCAGTCAGGGGTTGTGGCCACTTGGAACTCGACCGCCGAGCCGAAACCAGAGTTGTGTGTGAAGGTGAGCGCTATCGTGTAAACTGGTGAGAGTGACAAGAGGTTGTATGCACACACAACCAGTCAGTATGTCTGTTATGTAGAGTGCAGCGCATGGACGTCCGTGGATGGGGGTTGCTCGTTCTACTTGATCATGGGTTGGGTTCAGAGGAGAAAGCGAAAAGTACTCGGACTCGCCCTTTCTTTCTTTCTTTCTTCTTCTTTTGGCTCCGTCTTCCCTCTCGTGCTCTCTCCCTCTCGAGTGCGTGGTGAGGATGGTGGCAGCGAGTGGTAAGGAGTAGTCCTAAGAAGCGAGTGAGTGTCGAATCATGATCAAGGCAAAAAGGCATTCCCTTCTTTCCGTGGTTCGACCAACCAAGTCTCGAATCGAGCGGTCGTCGTTCTTCGCTACTGCGACCCTACAGACCGACCATGTTCCGAGTCAAATCGCTGTTCGAACGTGAGAAAGCCTGCTCCAACTTTGGGTTGCCCATGAAATTCGAGGTGCTCACCACCAGGGTCAAATCACAAAAAGAGTCGACCGAACCGACCAACCCCGCTCACCCGCCCGTGAGACTCGACTTTGAAATTCCCCTCATGTGAATCGATGAAATCATCCTGGAAATCCAACCCAACCCTCGCGATCCTCCGATTCTGCTCTCTCTCCCTCTTCTCTCTCTCTCTCTCTCACACACATACACACACACACACCGCTCACACGCAGTCAGCGAGTGACTGGAATGAACCGTCAACCTCGACTAGAAAAAGGATAACGACAATCACCAATGTGAATTTAGATCATGAATGATAAACGTGAACCATCGTTGATGACCATCCGCCGCTGGATAATAACAATCATGAATGAAATGCGAATCATAATCGAGGTAGTCACAGCCTGGACTTTGACGGTGGTCAACAACCGCCATCACCGTCCATCCACCACTCTCTCCGCTCCCTCCTCCTCTCCCACTTCTCCTGCCCCCCCCCCCCCCCCCCCCCCCCCCCCCCCCCCCCCCCCCCCCCCCCCCCCCCCACGAGCGTGACCACAAACGTCTTCCCTCTCTCG